CCCTCCAGCAAATGCCCCGGGGCCGGAGGGTCCTCCGCGACCGCCGGGGGAGTTTCAACCCGGCGGCTGGTAGGGGTGGGGGAAGCCGGAGAGACCCCCCGCTTCTGCAGCCGGGGCTGCCCGGGAGGTGCGGGGGGGGAGCAGCTCCGGCACCGGGCGCCCGTCCCGGCCGCGCAGGGACCCTCCGGCGGCCGCTGGGGGAGCCGGGTGGAGGGGGGGTCTTGCCCAACGGGGCAGCCCCTCTCCTGCTGCGTTTCTTTTCATTTATTTCCATTTATTTAATTTCATTATTTCATGCGCTGCCCCGCCGCCGGGGCCCTCCGCGCCCCCCCCCCCGCGCTGAAGACCCCCCACCCCATCGCCCGGTTGGGTCCCGCTGCCGACGGGGGCGAAGTGGGGGTACGGGAAAGGCAGGGATATGGGTACCCCCCCCCCAAAAAAAAATCTCACGGAGCCCGGCGTCCGCCTGAAAACGCTGCCACCAAAGTTACGGGAACTGAAAGGTCTGGTGAAGCAAAGGAGGAAAAAAATCAGTTGTTCCCCAGGAGGAATGTCCCCAGGAATTTTCATCATTATAAATGCCGGGAACGGCGATGCTTTTGCATTTAATAGAAACTAAAACAGCGCCGAGGGCAAAGGCACGTGAAAAGAACAAACGGTCGTGAAGGTAAACTGGATTTACTCCCCGGCTTTCTGCCGAGTACGGCGCACACAGGCGTAAATAGGTGAAAGTGTCTTAACTGCTAATTTTGACGGCGGTGTATAGGCGGGAGATTAGTTTCTAACAGAGAGATGGAAGTTCTCATTTCAATAGCAGCCCTTTGAAATATTCAGCTTCATGGTATGGGTCGCAACTACTGTGAAAAGAGACCCGTTTTAGCTTATGTTTTAAGCATTTGCAATGAAGCCAAAACATACAGAAAATATGAGACAAAGAATATTACTTGGTTTTCAAATGATGATTATTTACAAAACTATGGGCAAAAAATCTGAAAAGAATGAGCACTTTGAACTTTGAAGACCTGGAAATCTTTACTTGAATTTTAGCAGAAAATCCTCACAATTAAAAACTAGTATTTGCCTCTATTTTGTTTCCTCCCAAATGTAATTTTTATATTCCAAACGCTAGGAATGGTTCTGAATGCCCCTCCTTTGCCAAAATCATATTTCAGTGCCTAATGAGCATAAGTGTCAATTTTTTCTGCACCAGGTGCAAGGTTTAAAATTCATATTTAAACCATTTTTTTCTCCCTCTTCTAGTTTGGTAAATTTGTTTTTCATACTGCAATGCAGCCTGGAACGCCGTGGCTGCGGGCTTCAGCCCCAGCACCGCTCCTTCCTCCATCAGAGCAAATTTTGTGTCGGTGGTCGAGAAGCAAACGAGGGAAAAGAACTGCTGGTATCAGGCCTTACAAAAAGAAAAGTATCTTGTACTCTATCATTTTATTTCTGCTGAGTACGGGGAAGGACTCACTCTGTGGCTGGCATCCAAAACAAGGCAGGCAGCTAAGGAACGCCCCTCCGCTCCTCGCAGCGAGAGGCTGAGGGACCTCACTCGGGACGACAGGATCTCGCTTCTCCCCTGTGTCCCTGCTCCTGAGAGGTAGGGAGCTTTCCCACCATACAGAGATCTGTGCCTATTTCAAAGCTGACATGCAAAAACCCCCCCCCGTTTCTCAGAAGGTGAGTCTGATTTGGATACGTACTCCAAAGACACAGCATACTTGCCTGCTGTTGGTACAAACTCTTCACCAATGACTTTGTGCAATAGCAAAGGTAGGATCCGACACTTGCCAAGGCTGAGCGTTTGCTTCTCGTGAAGAAAAACCCAAAGTATAATAGCAACACGTGCGACTGGGTGCTGCAGTGCGGCAGATGGTCGAGGTTGTGTCCCCTGGAGAATCTCTCCTTGAGGGCTGGATTGAGGGGTTTTAGCTCACACTCAAGTATATGTTAGGGGAATCAGGTCTGATGCAGCTTGGTATGAATTCAGTTTCTTTTATAAACAGCTATTTGACTGTAAAACTGCACAATGTAAGACACGAGCAAACTTTAGTGCCTTAATGCAGAGCAATATAAACACTCGTGCAAAACTGCTGGTGGTGTTTTACCTTCTCGGTGCACTCTGTGAAATCAGTCCTGGTATAGGAAATTATCCTGGAAATCAGGGGTCAGAAACTATATTCGCCAATGATCTCACTGCGTATTTACAATTATATATAAATAGTTTTTCTTGGTCCCAACTAAAGAATTTTAGGTGGGTTGAGTCACACAAGGAACTACAAAGGCTTGGAAAAAAACAGCTGAGATATCTCAGAGAGAAAATTATGACAGCAATGAAGGAAAGCACAGTTTTAGGAAGGACATGGGTTAAGAATTGGCTGTGTACCATTAAAACACTGGCATGGCACTACTCCTACGGCCATACACTGGTAATGTTTCACAGCAGTAATGTGAAAAGAAAATCTTGTTGTTAGGAATAAAGAATGATAGGTTCTGATAAACAGCAAGATGCAGAAAGTTACAATTTGCCTCCGAAAACATTCCTATAAAGCAAGTCAATGTTATCTTCTAACTAAGCAAGAACCTTTCACAAAAGAAGAATTCGGTATTGCTGTGAATGGCTCACTGGACAGGCAAACAGATCATCAAACAAAACATCAACATTAAGAAAGACTGGGACAAAAAAGTCATGGAAATGTGATAGCACTGACCATGCTTGTTGCTCACCTTCCCTGGAAATCCTGCATCCAGTGTCAGCCCCCCGGGTGCAAAAGTTGGAGCAGTGAACATCATGTTCATTAAAAGGATTAAGTATTTATTAGCCAGAAGGGACCCTTCTGTTTCTTCAGTCTGACCACATATATACTTCATGCTGTTGACACTATACTTTTTTAGAACCTCGGGGAGAATTTTGCTGTTTCCAGAAAGGCATGCTTTCCCGACTGGAAGGTACCAGGAGGTGGATGGAGGATCCAGCCCTTGCTGCAGCCATTTACCATTGTGCTTAGTCGCCCTCGGTGTTTCTCACTTCCAGCTTGAGTTGGGCTGGCTTCAGCTTTCAGCTGTTGGTTCATGTAATGCCTTACTTCACTAAGCTAAACAGTCCTCACATATGTAATATTTTTTCTTATGAAACCTACTTTATTCCACATAATAATTTTTTTTTTCCTGCCAAAATAGATGCAGCTCCTTAATCTTCTACAGCAATTTCTCCAGTCCTCAGATAATTTTTGTACCTTTTTTTCTTTGCACCCTTTGCAATTTTTCAACATTGTTTTATAATATTGACAGAAGAACTTGTTATTATTCTAACATCTTTCTTGCTGAAGGTATACACAAAGTAAAATACCTTCTTAGCAACTGATGCTTAGGGCTGTTAGGGTTTTTTTTGCCACAACACAATTTTAAAGACACATCATGCTGGCGTGCTTTCCCACTGTGATCATCACAGTATTTTCAGGATCACTACTACAAGTTCGTAAGAACTGTGGACTGCTTGGTGGTGTGGAGCTGAAGGTACAGGAATGTTTCTGGCATTTCTTCTGAGCTCTTACATAGCTGATGATTGAGATTGCAGGTAACCAGACTGAAAGGTTTGGTGATCCCATGCAAGCTTATGACATCTGCTCACAACTCCTTGTAGAGTCATCTTTTCCAGGGAGGACCCTTTCCATCACCTGCCTTCTTGGTGCTAGATGTGCAGCGCTGCAAAGAGCTCCATTTGTGTGCTCTTCGTTCTTGAAAGTGCCAAGAGACTTAGCAATAGACTCAGGTCTTTCCAAATGTCCCACTTCCCACCTTACTCAGCAGTCTTCTTGTCAC